TTCAGCGAATATACATATTCAGCGAATATACATATTCAGCGAATATACATATTCAGCGAATATACATATTCAGCGAATATACATATTCAGCGAATATACATATTCAGCGAATATACATATTCAGCGAATATACATATTCAGCGAATATACATATTCAGCGAATATACATATTCAGCGAATATACATATTCAGCGAATATACATATTCAGCGAATATACATATTCAGCGAATATACATATTCAGCGAATATACATATTCAGCGAATATACATATTCAGCGAATATACATATTCAGCGAATATACACTCATTTGCAAACTAATTTGGTTCTTTCGACAGACTCACCTGGGACCCAGATGAATCTTACGTTTATGGTGTTCTCAGGCAACTGAATGTGCTGCACAAATCCCCCTCATGTTTCAGTCGCTACGATATTTGAAATATCGCGATACGTGCCTATCTTTGTAATGTACTACTCAGCAGCCTTATGAGTAGTGCATTACAAAAATATAGGGTAAGTGTTTCCATTTTGCTATCGTTATTCGCAACTCAGGTAGCAACGGGAAGGCAATGAGGCTCGAACATTTTTACGGTTTAGAAGGATGATTCATGTACGATCCGTACAGCATCCAGAAGAAAGTGTACGTTATTGCGAAAATGTCGACTTCAAACTTTATTGCTGAAAAAAACATGGATGGTACTAGACATTGTTTTGAACACTTTGAATTTAACATTTAAAGATAAGAAACTTTAAAGATCAGAAACCCCATTTAATTCACGGGCATAGTTGGACGGTGGAACTCTGGTAGACTGAACAGTTTGAGTCAGTAACGTCCAGAAACACAAGAACAGCTTCAGGCTAGTCAAACGGCAATTCCATGTAAAATTAGAGACAAATGTGTCGATTCTAGCCCAGTTGTCCACAGTGTATTGGTCCATAGTCAGACCTTATGCTGTGCACACTGCGGACTAATGCAAGCATTTTTCCATGCTGTTGATGAGCAGTTAACGCACAAACTATGTTGCCAGTACCACGTTGAACTTTCATCTGGAATTGCCTTCTGTTTGGGTGAGTTGCAAAAAATACTAACAAAACTCGAGAAAACAGACCGTGGAATGAACACGTAAGCTGTATTTGTATTGCTTCACCTCAAACAATGACCTAGGCCCAAAGGACATTGTGGGACAACCAGTAAGGCCTTAAAGGGCAAAGTTCAATTATTCCGCTTAGTATGTGAAGTACAATGAAGCTCCTATCAGATTGCTCGGAACAACTGAAAGAAATATCAATGGCAAGTTTTTGTCCCATAATTTACTCGAAGATTAGCGTGTGTCTTCAGCTCAGAAGACAAAATTCACTCGCGCAGCCATTCGTTTTGTGTTGAAGTTCTAAATTGTAAAAGGAATGCTTACTTATTGAAGAATATGCCGAATAAACGAGCTCACGGAACACTTCTTACGTAAGTTGTGAGAAAAGCCAACGATCTAGACAGGAAGCGGAAACATTGTCAAACACGCAAATTCTGCGGTCAGCTCGTCGCCTTATGTTACGCACCTAAAGGGATAATCTTTAATTCACTCTGCGCTCAGAAAGCAAAAAGAAAAGAATAACAATGTGAGCGTAGTTTTCAGAAACACAGTCCACATACATATGTGGGCACAAAGTTGCCCCCGTGGGTGGACTGAAAAAAAACAGAACTCCGGTTTATTGTACGTTTAAATAATTTGAAAGAGAGATCATTTTAATTCAAAAGCCAAATGAATGGCTTCCCCCCTTTTCAACAGGTCTGCTTCTACAAGTGCTTCGAAACTAGCAGACTACCTTAGACTGAGGTTTTTTGGAATGAAGCCTGAGGAACACCGTCATTCATGAATGATGTGGAGTCTTTGAAAAAAAACGTATTAATCAATAATAGCCATTGTGTGAGAGTCCAGCAATAATGGTGCACAAAAATCAGCTTGTGCGCTTTTGCCTGGATTCCGGTGATGGAATCCAACTCTTAATGTGGTGTCCGTTCCAACCTTGATTTTTGGTCACTGAAAAATTCGTCCCGCCATTTTCGTCAGATAGCCCTTGCGCCTGTTAGTCAACAAAAACGATGTAGAGTTTGGGATTAGCACTGAAACTTAGCGACTCAGTAGCGGAAGCTGAGGTATCCTCTCGTCTCTTTTGAAAGGCCCGAGACCCGCTTTTATCGCTCAGCTACAACGAGGCATGATACTGCTTCTAGGGTTTACGTACAATCTCTGCGCACGCGAGTGTTGCTGTGTTGTAGGGATTATGTGAAAGGATGAGTGGGGCGTGAAAAGGTGTTTGCCTGATAAATGTCCTATGTAGGCCCATACATGACTTTTCAGTGGTATTACAACTTGACTCGTGATGGCTGTCATTTCATTAACTGCCCTCCAAACCCCAGTGGTTCGCAACAACTTTGAATTTATCATCGTCAGTGTTATTATGTCATCCATTTAGCACTTGAGCTACCACCTCAATCCCGTTCTGAGGTTTCAGGTACTTAAGGAGCCCAAAGATTCATCAGGGATGCATCAGTCAAACAATGACAACTCGCGTCGAGCAGCAAAGCCAGAGATCAAAACGATTTGATAATTCTCGTATCAAAGTGCGCAAGAAATCTTTCATATTCCAGCGACTTGTAACAGGAAACATGATCAAAAGATGGATGGACTTAGACTTTTAGCTCTGTGCATAATATGTATGTATTTTTAAGAATAACAGTAATGAAATTTGGATCGTAAGATCTGATGAACATATTTTAGGCGTTTTGTGTAGACCACGGTGAGCAACATACCACCAGGAGTAACTCAAAGCTCCGAGTATATCAATTTTGGCACTCAGAATGTACATTGTTCTGCTCGCCAAACCAAGTTAAGCCACGGAAGTGGATGACTCAATAATCGATCCTCCACAACAGTTTAGCACAAAAAATCATGTCACCCCAGCTAAATACACACCGTCAATCCAGTACCTTACTTTATCTACTGCCCTACGAACTAAACTTGACTGGGCCTGAATAGGTCAGATGTGAGGAAGTAGAACCGATAGCAGCTTTGATTTTTCAACCGCGAGACCTGCAGTTATTATTTTCTGACTTTGGAGACCGATTTGCGCTTTCCAAATTTTCGAAGGTATCTTCAGTATGAATTTTACGTTTATACTAAAATCAAAACAAACTTTAGAAGTTGTAAACTCTTTTAGAACTGCAACAATCGCTTTGGCTTAAAGCAATGTGTGCATTTGATCATTTTTCCGCTTGCGGACCATTACATAGCGATAACACAAACTGACCCGCTAGTTCAGTAAGTGTGAGTTCTTCTTAGAAAAACTACGAAATCACCATCTGAATTGTAAACCACAAGAGTACGCATCATGCATTCTGCGTTTGGAAACTTCAGAAATTGAACCGTACATAACCACAGAAACTCACTATGCGTAATGTAGATTTGGCCGCGACTGGCATACAGCAACTGGACTAAGTTTACAAGGGTCGTGTCGAGACACACTAAATTTTACAGGACTACCTGGGCAGCCATGCATTCGAACTTTTGGGAGGACCTTCTCAGTAAATATATTTGATCTATAGCACTATATTTCAAGGCGATATTATTTGATTATGACTGAAAACAGCTCCAAGTGTGGAATAATTAGCTTAATGAACACAGCACACTGTCAGATGGAAGCGCTAACGTTTTACGAAATCACTTCCAAATGATACATAGACTAGAAGATAAGAGAGTGGCTCACTGATTTGCCTGTTTCTGTGGAAGTGTACTACGTATACGTCCCCATGTCCAGCTCTACCTCAACGACCCCTATCATGGGTAAATAGGCATCTACATTTGGCTGATAGATGGTTATAATTTGGAGCCCTCAGTGGTTTCGAAGTTGTAAAGGAACAGGTTTTATTGCAGTAGCTTTTCCAACATTCCGTGGTAGTCAACCGCCAAGAACATGAGGTTACGCAATGCTTTTCAGCAAAGCATAGATTCCATTACCACCGCAACAAAAATAGCCGAACTTGTTGGCGATTGCACCACGGGTTTGATGATATTCAAAACTTCAAATGCTAAAGCCACTCAGGCACTCAGGCATTCCGGATTTTACTGAGTTTAAATGGATACAAATTTTTCATCTGAGTGGTTTTCTGATTATAGACTTCGTTACATTAGCTTCATTGTTGTAGTAGTGCCGGGCTTGGAATTGCATGGCACCAAACTGCAGGGATGAGGAGCCATAAGAAAGAAGACCTTCACCGAAGCACGCGACTCAACATCTTTCATAACACTAACAGCATTCATGAAGTTCCAAATAGGTTTAGGCGGACCAAACGAAATGCTGGGACAACACATATCGTTAGCTGTGGAAGTGCAGTGATAGCTGGAGATAGTGTGGGCGTGTAGTGTATGAGCAACGAGCTGGCGGATAACATTCTTGTCACAGGTAAAAGAAGGACATGTCTAAACTCACAGTGGGAGTGCCCATCATGGAAAAATCGAAGCGTTAATCACCACGTGAACCCTTTGTTCGAATTTCACCTGTACCACCTACCTACAACATTATTTGAACCGTTGGGCATAGTACTTCTAAGGATAATTCAGTCAGCGCTTGTCCGAGCTGTTTGCTTGCATTTGGAAAACGGAGTCCGTCGCACACAACTGGGGAGAATCGGTGATAGCGCCCGTTTTCATAAAAGGGGCGCGTAGTGAGTGTGGTAACCACAGTCGGGTCAGTTTGACCCAAGTCGTAACGAGACTGTTGGCGTCACTTGCGCTTCGTCGCCTTACGGCAGCTCGCGCGATACTGACTCGAGAGCAGCAAGCGGGATTCCGGCCTGCCAGGAGTTGCGTTGACCAAATCTTCACACTCCGTCATGTGCTAGAACAACGCCATACGTATGAGTGACCCACGATTCTGGTAATCCTGAATTTCCGAGGCGCACTCAAATCGGTTGATCGGTCTGCTCTTCTTGAGACGCTTGCCCACCAGGGAATGCCCCGGAAGTTTGTAAACATAATAGGTTCTTCGTATTCACAGCCTTCCGGACGTGTGAGAGTGTACGGAGAGCTCTCCGCAAGCAAAGCGGTGTCCGTCAGGGATGCACACTCCCCCCATTCCTTTCTAACTTCGTAATCGATGAAATAATGAGACGAACTCTGGAGGGTTTCCAAAACCCTGGTGTTCAAATAACCTGTGAAGTAAACCTTGTCGATCTGGAATATGCAGACGACATCGTTCTCATGTTCGAAGAGGAGGAGAAGGCGCAAGTATTCTTGGATGAACTGATCAAAGTCATCCCGTCCTTTGGTATGCATTTTGCACCCACAAAGTGTAGGGTCATGCTTGTGGACGTGCAGTTATTGAACACACGTCATGCTGTTGATGATGATGATGACTACAATTTAGTTGGTCACCCCCTACTTTCAATCCGGAATACCGGTCTCGAGCATAAAGTTAGACTTGAATATAGAACCCCGATGTGTCTCATAAATGTTCAAGTGTATATCTCTAGTCAAGCGTCATCAAGCTGCTGGTCCCAACGACACTCTACTTGATCTATTCAAGGATCGGAGTTAGTTCTTCAGTCGACCGCCCGTCCAAACCATTTGTGTCTATCTGAGAGAAAGAGGCTGTCCCAGACAATATGGATGAATGGAAAATAGTATCCGCATTGAATGTAGTAACCACGAGTGTAAGTTTGTCTTCCGTTGTGATGAGGCTTCCGGCGTCATGCGAAACTTTGACCAGTGAGCCAAGTGAGATTTCGACCGATTGGAGGCTGTGCCGACTATGTTTCCGCGTTCTGTTGGAGTTAATTAGAAAACAGATATTCGGGTGTGTAGCGGGTACTTCAATCGCGGAAAACATCCAGCTTTATCAACTGCAGTGGATTAGCCATGTGTTGCGCATTTCAAAACACTGAGACGAGAGTTGTTCTCCGTGCCTTCTTCAGAATAGCTTAAATCACAAAGTTGACATAATACGATTTAACACAAGGTAGTGAAACAGATTACGAAGAGTCTGAGAGTTGGTGGTACACTGAGCTTTTCAGGATGCTGTTCCCGTGACCCTGCTGACGTTGCAAGAAATGGTGACTAATCGATGTTCGTAGTATTCGGACTTTCAATTTCTTTTCAGACTGTCTGACTGACAGCTTGCGGTGAAGGCATCTCAAAACGCTTGCAGTAGGCCAGCATCACATGCCCTCCCTCACCAACTCTTTTGTCTTCTTTTCATTCTATTGTTTGAATATTATAAAATAAACTTTTTGGTTATGAAACGTCAGTATCAATACTAATTTTGCTGGCCGTTGGGGCACATGCCGACACTACAATTGAGCACGTTTCCTTATGTCGAAAAACATTGAGCTGGACAAGTGAACTTCGCAAAGATGACTATATACTTGAACCTACATCAGCAAAGCGCCTTCAGCTATGGGATTAGTGCAACTCAGTCGCGGTGCGTTCCATGGGTCATAGGTTCTGAATCACCGGACACACGGTGAATACCATCAGAAGTGACCGAGTTCGTCCTTGACCACGCTTGAGCCTTTTATGCACTAGTTCCCTCTTTTAACCCTACTTTTATCCTCTTCCCAACTTAGTTATTATTTATTTATCTACTGTTTGTTGGTAATCTGAATGAAGTTTATGGTTGTAAGGCAGAAATTCGTTAGTTTCAGTACTGATGAAGATGATGATGATAGAACAGTAAAATAAAAAAGCACCCGATTCCGAAATAGCAGGACAGTAAATAAGATTAACGCGCACTCAGTCAGAAAACTCTGATGTGCCCAGAGCTTCTCCCTTATTCGGCATTTCATTGCTTATCATGCAAAATGTCCGAACTGCATTCATTTTATGTCACTCAATATATTCTCAGTTTTCGCATTGTTGTAAAGAATCAAAATATACATAGCGTATTCAAGAGGTTGAGTAACCCGGATTTTGAACAACACTAGAGTAGACCTCAAATTTCATGGAATCTGCACAATTTAAAAATAATTCAACTGGACATTACGGGCTAGCCGTATTTTCAGCCAATCACCTTCCGGACGAGCGGTGTATTTATTGCTACCTACTCTTTTTCAGACTGAGGCCTTGTTGAACGTCGGACCCATATGGTGCTCAAACGAATATCTCTTTGCGGTGTTCTGCAAACAAACGTATTTCTGGAAAGTCTAGCCTTGCCCCCAGTGGAGTGAGGTAATATATGCACATCCTATTTGTTTGATTGCCCGTCATCGCTTTCCCCCTTTTGTGGACTGTTAAAGTAGAATGTAGGATTTAATTGCTGGCTACATGTATTTGTTTTTACTCGTGTTTGATACTGTCCATCCGAAGACAACGCTCCAGCGCGTCTTTTCCCAGCCACGAGAACTCAAGAACATGTTATGTGGCCTTCTAGTCGTTGTAGAGCTAAAAACTAGGCGTTAACTCCAGTTATAAATGTTTGCCCTCCTGGTACTAAAAGCCGCCTTTTGAATGCGCATTTTTTGAAGTAGTCGATAGATGTTGACCAAACCATATGTAGTTCAACGTAGCACTATGATCTGACTCCGAGTCTGGAAAGTTGTGGCGGTATCCAGACGACGGGTGCTAGTGAAACACTTTTTTGTGTTTTTTACCAATGATCTGCGGAGAGAAGCTGATAAGAAAATCACAAATTTGGCTAGGATGTAAAAATACATATATTCACACCTCAAAAGGCTCTATGAGAGTGTTTTGTCCTCATTAGGAAGTCTTTGAGACATGCATAGAGCCAATCTCCAATGTGGTCACTTGTCGGATAGTAGCTGAAGACCTAATTGTTCGGCCATTAGCAGCTATTGATCAGCGTAATTAACTCAAAGTTGGATGGGACACAGCGTCGTTCACCCTTTAATCACGGAATCCACGGCACATGACTACTTGTCGAATGGTCACGAGTGACGACTTGGGCGTGGATAAATGCATTCTCAAACCGGGGACCATATATCCTAAATTTTGTGATTGAAAGATGAATGACATAATACTGTGTCTAAGTACATCACACTGATTAGCAGCCTCTCGCGTTCTGTCAACTTGGTCATCAATTACAAACTTGAATGCTGCAAGCTTGAGATATGCTCAGCTTATTATTCCCAATAATAGGGAATTAGTACCTTTCGGCATTTCTGTTCAGACTGACTCCGTTTATGGAGCGGAGCTTTCACTAAAAAATCCTTTACCTTCTTTGGGTTATCAATATCCTAGGAAGCTCAGTCTTACGCTTCTTCTCATTGCGGGCGTCTATTACGTGTGCATATTTGGACGGGATATGTCACCCAATGTTCAACAGTGGTACGCTCTCTAGCAGGCCGGTGTCTATCTTATCTATACTCATTTTATGAGACCGAATAAGCAGCTAAACGTACCGTGCTTCAAAGTTCAAATTTCAAGTTGACAGACCATTGACTATCAGGATTCTTACCGTGACCAGCGAACACCGAGGAAATCAAGCAAGTCATTACCCATTGGTCGTATTGTGTGAATAGCTCAACAGTTGCTTAGGCCAAGGTTGACACCTGCCTTGAATTTTACGATCTTGTAAGTGGTCTTGTGGTTGCTGGATATTAATCACATGTAAAAGACCGATTGTATTTGACGAAAAGTTACTGCCCAAAGTTTTATATGACCGCTGCGGTCTTCCACAAAACCTCATTTTATTCCGTTGCGTTTATTTAATTTCATTTGAAATTCTCGACTTGCACCACCACGCTTATACAAATGCAAAAGGTAAAATAAATCTCTGATTCGTAGGCAAAAAATACTGATGAGAATAGCTGCTTTTTCACGGTTTGCTCAACGTTTAACCAATCCGAGGTTTCGTAACAACACTAATCAGAGTTTTCCGCGTACGAAATTTTCCTCACTGACTCGTATTCGAAAGTTGTTTTTCAGCTTGAAGCAAGCAGATCGGAACATGTCATTCGGGACGCTTAAAAGTATCAAAAACTAAATCACCTGGGAGGAAACCATGATGAGTAAAATGATAAGTTTTTGAATCTGCTACCTAACTCTGAAACGTTTCCGTGTGTTCATGGAACTGCTGAAAGCAGGTCCCATCCCACGTCACATCTGTTACTCTTGTGTCATACTTTCCGACACCCTAAAACCGGATGTAGCTTTTCCACAAAATTTGAACTGTGACGCGTCTGTTCTTCGCTACCTATCCTTCAGTTGAATGTATACGTGTTTTAATCGAGGTTGGATTCATCGTCCGATGCTATGGGCCCATTTGTGGGCAAAGACTGACACATTTTCATAAACTGCGTGTGCTCTATGCCCGAAAGAACAAACTAGGGATTTCAACCCGCTGTGAACATTTTCGCGGAAGGCTCGTTCACATATTCATCCAAAATAACCGGTAAGACAGTAAGAAATCCTGCTTGTATCACTCATGATCTTCAGTTGCATTTCAACCCTCTCGTGCGGTTAGAATGTTTACTTATCCTCGATGAGGCTTACAAACATTGTCCTATCGTGTAAATTTCCCAGTGTCTCATCTATGTAGGTGCTGGAACTGATCTTGGTGCTAAAAATCATACTGATGAAGCGACGGTGGATGATGCTGTTAACGCTAGGGAGTTTATTGAGAACAGATTATCAATTAACCCGAGTTATCACTTGTTTGTTAGGGAGTACTGATTCACTCTCCAGTGACTTCATCCGAGTCAGTGCAGGAAGCTCGCGAGGTCATCGAATGTTGGATAGGGATTGCTGCCATCGAGGAATGCNTTGGATAGGGATTGCTGCCATCGCGGAATCCCGTCTCCGCTTTAAAACTCTATGTCCGAATGTGGCGGTTGGTAACGGGAGGTTTTAGACGGATTAGAATGAAAGGCAAGTTAGGTAGAAACTGGTTTGTCAGTATTTAGCAATCAGCTGTAGAAGGCCTGGAACTGATCGATTCGCAGGTCAGCTTGATAAGCAATTGTTAGAATGGCTGAAATGCTACAAGTTAGTTGAAATTCAGTCATTTCCCGAGTACCACGATTAAAAAAACAACTCATGTATGATAATTTATGGCCTCAGAAACAAAAACCCATGAGATCATCTCTCGATTTCGTCTTTAGGACCCAGATCATCATGTCCATGGTTAATAGTTTTACCTTATAATTTGCCACCTGTTAATCCACATTTAGATGGCACTGGTCATCAGTTAACTTAACGATGCATGGCAAAAGTGAGCATGAGGTTTTGTTGAATTTAAGCGAATTATGTAACCTCATTGTGTACCGCATCCACCTGCGCGTGTATTCGGCTGTGAAACAGTTGGAGCTAATATCTGTTTTCCTGAATTAGCCTGCGCTCCAACAAGCAAGTCTCAGAGTTACAGTTTTAATCAGGCTAACAGAAACTTTAGTTTTTTATGGTGCTGGTCGTTCTTCTGCGAAAGTAATTTTGAGCACTGATGTTGAGTATGTAGCGACCCAGTCACCCACATACTTCGGTACCGCCTCCGGATTTTCACCAAGGGACTCTCACATCCGATACGTTCCCTTTTTTGACTTGCTCCCTTTTCACATTGTATTTATTTTTATTCGCGTTGCAACTCTCCACTGTCCACCATACTAAAAACTTCTATTAGTGCACACACACACACTTTCTGATTTGTATTATGGCTATCGCCCATTGTGCACTAATAAGTACTTCAAAGCGTCTCGATATGAACTCAAAGAAGGTACAGATTCGAGATGGAAACCCCCCTCCGGTAGCCTTATTACATTAGCCCCTTCTTTTTCACTGTAGATACCTTCCGAGCCCCTTGATATTGCCTTCA